GGGCCCGGTACGCCCGCGCGGACGCTGGAGCGCGGCCTGGGGGCCTGCTACAAACGCCAGCGTTCTGGTGAGGCTCAAATCACGCAAGTCTCGCTAAACTTACGCGTGCTACTTTCCCAGTAAGTCGGGAATTCAGGAAAGCCTCAGAAAGGAAGCTTAAGGCACAATTATCTCAGCTTTTAAATTGGGAGGTTCATAAAATACCTCCCAGCTTAATCTGCCTTTGAACTCTGCATCTATACAGAATGCCAAAACCCAACTTCCAGCGTTTCTTTGAAATGTGAATTTACAGGGCAGAATTACACACACTCTGTCCACTTAGGGTGATTTATTTAAGAATCTTGAAACAATACAGCAACACCCTACATGACATATGGGAACTAATGGTCCAATTTTATAGGTGAACTCAGAAAATGAGTCAATGATAGAATTATAAAAACCAGTTACACTGACATCAGGCCTATTCATGAGACATAAACTACACCAACACTCAAAAGTTGTTTGATAATAAAGACAATAGCTAACACTTCTGTAGTGCTTTGCATATATGAACACAATCTTCACAACTACCTTTTTGAAGTGAGGCCTATCAGATCCATTGCACAGACAGAGAAACTGAGGCACAGAAAAGCTAACTTGCCCAAGGTCACGCAGCTGGTCACCAGCAGATCCAGGATTCACAATCAGGCAGTGCAATGTCTGCTTCCATCTGCTACCCTGTACTGCCTGATATCCTGGGATAAAAGCACTGGTTCTACTCTTAGCTGTCCCTTGTAACTGCCTGGGGCGAGTCATATGATTCTGAGCTTTAAACATGTAAATACATGTAATATGCCAACCTCAAAGGATTTCCGGGGATTCAGTAGTATCAAAATCCTTGAAAGGCATCCTTAAATTGTTTCACTCTCTTAATGCTGTCGAGGATCTCTATCAATCCATTCAACACATGATTCTCTACATTTCAAGACTCGTGCACTAAGAAACAATACAAAAACCCATCTTCTCAGATATTCAGCAAACAAACTGTCTACAAACAGCTAGAGGAAGGAAACCACCAGGGAGCCAGTGTCACTACCACAGGCTAAGCTTTCCCTGACCCAGGCAAAACAACAAACTCGGGCCCTGCGGGCGTGGCTCAGCGGCTGATCATCTACCAGTGATCCAGGGGATGGAGGTTGGATTCCCAGTCAGGGCACCTGCCGGGGTTCCGAACTCGATCCCCAGTGGGGGGCGTGCAGGAGGCAGCCGATCAATGCCTCTCTCATCACCAATGTTTCTCTCTCTCTCCCTTCCTCTCTTTGAAATCAAAACAGATATATTAAAAAAAAAAAAAAAAGCTCACTTTCCTCCGAAAAGCCTCACCCCTACTCAGACACGCCTTACACATCTCCCCTTCCCTGCATTCACCACGCACCGCACCGGGCAGGCGGGGAGTGCCCGCAGCCCGAACGCGCGCAGAGCTGTCGGCTGTCCGTTTACCCAAAGCTTACATGAACAGGAGCTCCAGGGCTTCCGACCCCGCTTCCCCTCGGATGCAAAGCGGGACTCCAGCGAGCAGGGAAAAGGCTGCGGGTTCCTAATGGCCACGCGAAGCCACGCCCTTCTCCGCGGAGCCGTGGGCGGAGAGCCAGAGTCAGAATGACAAAGCAAAAATCCCCTCCTTGTGCCGCCGGCGACCTACGCTCTCGGCTTAGCTAACGAGGCTCCCCGGACGGGGCGAGGCCACATCGCCTTCCTGCTCATAGCGCCCCCAACCCAAGAAAAGAGCAAAAACAATTTAAGGAATGTCTGGAACCAGAACCCAAAATAAGAGTGGGGTTTAAATGAACAAAACTGGACTATGCCCTAAGACGGGGACTCCGGAACTTGGCTGCGCACTGTAATTACGGGAGGATCGTATAAAAAGTGTTGGTGGCTGTTTCCCACCCCCGTATATTCCGATGTCATGGGTCTGGTGTGAGACCTGGCATCTGAGGGTTTAACTCCCGTGTATTCCAGTGAACAGCAAAACTGGGGACCCATTGCCCTCAGGTAATAGGTTAGTCAGCCAGGCAATTCCCTAAAGGATATTAGTCCACCCTGACTAATCCTGAAAAGAAGTGACAAATTCTCGGCAACACACAACTTCCCCTTACAGCTCTTCCTCCTTCTCCGACTCAGGTTTTGGTGTGTCATATATGTTTTAAGGAAAACAGAGTATACAACTCCGCAGTTGCCCAAAGTAGCCCGGCTCTCTCATACTTCCCTGCTCTGTCATCTGACTCAGCATCTTGCACTAGTAGCTAGCTATGAATATTTGCTAAATAAATAAATGTCTCCCCCACTTATTTATCCAGATCCTGCCAGGCTGAAGCACACACTGGTGAAAGGACTGCTGGTTTCTTAAGGCTGCGAGAAACCACACCTGTGACATGGCAGACAAATACAGTTGCTTTTGCGAGCCCCTTCCAATCCTCTCAGCTTCTGAATGCACTTGCTAAACTGACACTCTCCCTGCCTGATAACCACCATGAGTTTTCGAGAGAGTGTGCCTCACCCGATTCTGGGGTCCTTAGAACAGAAGATGGGGCTAGCGCACAGGTGTTCAGGAAGTAATGTGATTTAAGAAGCCAAGAATGAAAAATGTACTGGAAAGAAAGCTGGGACTAAGGGAGAAAATAAGCTCTGTATTAACCATTTTATAGGCCATAGCTCGTTTAATCACAACAGCCCATGAAGCAGGGTCATAAACTCCTCCTTCTTAAAAATACAAACTATAGCTTATTTCAGAAGTATGTCTTAGGAGAGGGACTTTAAAATAATTTAACTTGAAATAAAGTACTAAAAGCAGATGATCAGGATCGATTTCTAAGAACCCTGTATGACAGACAGGTCAGAGTTACCATAGTTAATATTTTTCTAACAGCATACCAGAAAAGGCTAGGTAAGGCATTTTAACTTCACACTACAATGTATTCGTAAATGAACAAATTATAGTACAAATCTCTAGAGTAGCTCCAGGTAGCTATTTTTTAAGTGGAAAAAAAAATCATTTTTAAAACCCTTCACTTTTCTTTTAAGCCCTTCTTGCTGCTAAGGGCCCAGATGCCTTACCCTTGTCACAAAAATAGAGAACTCCTTAGTTCTATTTAGTTGGTGGTTAATGAAAGAAGTGCCTCATCTCCCACAGTTCCCATGACGCAGCATTTGTTCTAGTCATACACTTTATTCTCTTGACTGGGCTCAGTTATTCCCCCTGCCTGAATTCTCTTCCCTCCCTAAGGGCCTACTCTTTCAAAGCTCATCTGAAATGTCATTTCCTCTGGGAGGGCTTCCCCGATTCCAACCCATCCGCCCCTCTTCTGTGTCCCCAAATACCTAAAAATAATTACGAATCATCTAAATCCAAGAGAGTTTTGGGAAGGCAAACCCTTGTTTGATTTATCTTGTCATCCCAGAACCTGCTATATATAGTAAGTACTCAGAAAATGCTTGCAAGGGCCCTCTGTGTTCCTGAGCTAACACCTAAACATTCTATAAACATCTATGCAGGTGTTTGATAAAAGTCCTGTTGCATTAAACTACTGTTCCTCCTACAAATAAGCCTTTCTCACCATGCTGAGCTAAAACACCTTTCTGACACCCAAATCTTCTCTGCTCAAACCTTCAGTAGCTCTCCAGAACCCTTGAGATAAAGTCCAAACTCCTCAATTGTACTGACTTGGCCCACCCTTGTTAAACCTAGATGTCCATATATTCTGCACCCTACTTAAGCTGCAAAACAATTGCTGGAGAAAACACAGAAATTAAAAGTGATTTCACTTTAAAGTCGAGACCACAAACCTCAATGTGTCCAAATGCTGCTCAGCAAGCCTTTGCATCTCTGGTATATTTGTTTTCCGTTTCCAAAGTGACTATAACATACTTATTCCTCTTTTCTCAAACCTCTGATACACCTACAGCTTGCCATTGGCTTATAACCTGCTTTCTACTTTAAGAAAATAGAATCGACTAGACAGAACTCCCTC